CCCCACTCGCCCTGCACCCCCTACCCCTGCAGCCTCTGTGACCCCTGTTCCCCACTCGCCCTGCAGCCTCTGCACCCCCCTTGCCCTGCAGCCTCTGTGACCCCTGTTCCCCACTCGCCCTGCAGCCCCTGCACCCCCCCGCCACTGCAGCCTCTGCGCCCCCCGCCTGCCCTGCCCCTGTGCCCCCTGCCACTGCAGCCTCTATGCCCCTGCCTGCCCTGCTCCTCCTCGCCCTGCAGCCTCTGCGCCCCCCTGCTCCCCTGCTCACCCGGCAGCCTCTGCCTGGCGGGGGCTTCGGACGCTCAGTGGCGACCGGGGCAGTTCGGGTCCCTGCAGCCCCGGCACACGCCGCACTCCCCGCCCCGTGCCGCAGCCTCCTTCCTGCCGCCGCCGAGCACATTCCTCTCTGGAAACAGCTCCTGCGGCGCCGGGGCTGCAGGAAAGGTCCCCCAGTGGCCGGGGGGTCCCTGCCCGTGAGGGAAGCCCGAGCCGCTGGCTGGGCCTGGCCTCCCCGTGGTCTTGCGGGCTCGGCTGGGGTGCGCGGTCTGTCCGGCCTGCGGTGGCAGCAGCGGCACCTCCGCCGCCTTCTGCGGCTGCGCCCGCCCGAGCTCGCTACAATGTAGCCGGGGCGGCTGGGCTGCGCTGCGGACCCGGCGGGTCGTGCTGGGGCCGGGCGGACCCTGGCTTATGCCTCCCTATTTTCCCGGACATGTCCGGCTTTTTGAAAATTCCCCCCGGACGGGGATTTGAGTACCAAAAAGCCAGACATGTCCGGGGAAATCCGGGCGTATGGTAACCCTAGTTAAAAGGATTTGTCCCCTTGCTTTCTCTTTTGCTCTGTAAACATACTGCTTTTTCTACCTTGTATTGGTCATCTTATATCATGGACATTTCCTTGAGGAAGGATTTCTCTTTGTTTTTTAAACTCTCTCCCGTCTTCTACCTTTTTAAAAGTGTTCATATTCTTCCATAACCAGAACGATCGCCAGACGTACCTAGGCATCTACTGGATTTTTTTAAATGACAGCTCATTGCAAACATTCTGCTTTGTACATGTGTTGAGCTATATGTTTATAGCGCTGTGATTTGACGAACTGACAGGTTTTCACACATGACTGTGATTAATTGTGAAGTGGGGCTCTTGCCAGATGTTTTCCCAGATTCACTTTTTAAATATTGATGGGGCTTTCTGAGAAAATCTATATTTTTCTTTTAATTTTGTATCTACATGTTGATTATATAATTTAGATTGAATTCAGATCTCCTCAGATTGTCTCTGTTTCCTCACTGAAGGCTTTGGTTGGAATTGCTTTGCTGCTGTAGCAAGGGGCTGCACAGTGTCCCAGCACCTGCCATTAAGACTTGCTGTCTAGCTCTAATTCGGGATGCAGACTCCCACTAGCTACTGGGAGTAGATCACCCCCCAGAAATCAAGAGGCTGCTGGGAGAAAGTTGAAGCCCACTCTTGGGGGGGAAATGTATGCATTAGAACATGCCAGCATACTTATTATCTTGACTCTGAAATATAAGACAGGATGCTTCAAGTGGTTTATAACCTTATCAAGTTTGAGAGCCAAGATATATACTAGAACACTGTTTCTTTCGGTATCTGCTTCTAAAATTAAGAATGTACACTGATGTCTTAGGACTTTCTGCACATTGAATATTAAACAAATCTTTTTGTGCTCCTGCCCAGAATGAATGCTTCATTCTCTAGTAGATGGAGTTGAGTGAGTTTATGAGGATTTTTAAACACTGGTTGATGCAGTTATTCAGCATAAAACTGTTACATTTTAACAAACTTACATGTTAATGTGCATTTGTTTGATAGGGCCAGCTCTGCTGTGCAGCTCTTTGAGGAGAACTAGTTCTAATGTGGAAGGAAAGTCTGAACCTATACAGAAATCCCCTAAAAAATCAAAATTACCAGTAGGTCGTCTTGATGAACCAGAGGAGTCCAATAGAGAGAGAGAACCACTGGAAAGTAAGTCATGGTTTTTCTAAAAAGGAAAAAAGTACTAATTAAAGGCCTGATCCAGAGAGATGCTGAGTGCCTGCAAATCTTATGTGACCTGTGGATACTCAGCACTTCTCGGGACCAGGCGTTATATAGGAGAACTCTGAAACATGCTATATATGGTCATAGCTGGCATTAAATACCATTTTAGTCTATTTTATAGTGCACTGGGAGGTGGGAATAGATGATCTGGTGATTCCTTCTGGCCTTAAATTCTATGACTGAGCTGTATATAGTGGTAGTAAAACAAAAGCATCAGAGCACCAACTCCTTTTAATATACAAACTGCTGCTTTAGGCATTGGTCCTGTAAAGCCCCTTGCACTTGATTTCAGTGGGATTCCACGTGGAAATCCTTGCAGGATTGGGGCCTTAGAGTGTTACCATTGCTATAAATCACAAGAAAATAAGTATGAACTATATAAGTGTACACATGCATTTCTAGGAGCCATTCCGCTTGGCCTAAAACAGGTAGTTACTTTAAACTCATATAGCATGTTTCATCTGTAGCCACACTCATCCATTGCACCATGATCAGTTGCGTTTTGTTGTCTATCTCTTAGTCTGATTATAAGGCACGAATTCTATCTAATTTACTTTTAAGCTGTCTAGTGCATGGTTTTTTTTAAATGTCTGTAAATACCATAAACATTTATAGTGCTATGTAAATGATTTAAAAAATAAGAGAGGAGTGCCTGAGGCTGTGAGCAGTATTGGACTGTGATTACCATCAGGATTTATTCAGATTTGGAGAGATCGGGTAAGCAGAGAGAAATGCTTAATTCTGATTCTGTCTTGTATCCTTTTACCCCCAAAAGAAGTAAATGCCACCACTGGTATTAATTTAACAAATCCATAATTATTTTGTTTTGTTCATGTTTAGAGGTTTTATGTTTTAGGGCTAAGCCAGAAAAATCCTTGAGTTTTAATTTTCCCTGTGCCTGGTCTTACTGCTGTTGACACTGCAGCAATCATCAGTTAGAAGGCCAACAGCTCAGTTCTTCTATGCTGTCTGTTAACCAGATAGCAAATGAGGACTTAAATTAGCCATTCACTATCCACTGCTGTTGTGTCACTACCACTGAGGAGTCTCTTGAGATTCTGCTGCTGCTTAGATATTTTGATAAGTTTTATAGCTTCATCTTAAATAGAGATGAAGCATTTGTGCTCCTGCTACCCATGCCAGAATCATATGCAAATACACCTCTACCCCGGTATAACGCAACCCGATATAACATGAATTCAGATATAACGCGGTAAAGCAGTGCTCCGGGGGGGGGAGGGGGACTGCGCACTGCGGCGGATCAAAGCAAGTTCGATATAACGTGGTTTCACCTATAACGCGGTAAGAATTTTTGGCTCCCGAGGACAGTGTTATATCGGGTAGAGGTGTATTGACGTTTAAAAATCCATGTAGATGCTGAACAAGGCAACACGATGAGGCACATTTAAATATATGTGAGTTAAAGATGTATTTCTAATTTTTTAGCTTATCTGTCTGGTTTAGGGATTTATGCTTCTGCCCACCATCATAGTACCTGGTGCCTTCTTCATAAAAGCAATAGCAATCCACATACAATTTCTGGTAGAAATTATTACTTCTATGAAAACTCAATTATTTTTATGTAAAGTGAGATGTCTTCCCACTCTCACAAAAGAAAAGAAAAAAGAAAGAAATACAGACAGAATGAATCTTGGCCAAAATTTTCAGATTTGGGTGCTTAAAATTAGGGACCTAAGCAAAAGTGAAAAGTGGACTGATTTTCGGAGGTGCTAAGCACATGCAGCTCCTATTCAATTAAGTAAATTCTCATTTTGAATTCAGTGGTAGTTGTGGATGCTCAGTATCTTTTAATGTCAGGTCACTTTTATTAAGGTGCCTAATTATGGTGTTAGGTTCCTGACTGTAGATACTTATATTTGATAATTGTGGCCAAGATTTTTAACCCTAAGCTCCCTGAAATTGCTATTGCATTAACCTAAATTTATTTATTTTTTAAATCAAGATCAGTCTTTTGTTATAAATGGATGCAACCATGTTACACTGTGAATGTTTACCTTTGTGCTATATCTGCCAACTTTATTGGTCTTTTAATCATAGAACCATAGAGTTGGAAGGGACTGCAAGGGTCATCTAGTCTAACCCCCTGCCAAAATGCAGGAATTGTTGTCTAAACCATCCAAGGCAGATGTCTATCCAGCCTCTTAAGTTTCCATATTGTTTTAGAATTTCCAGATGACATCAATCCTGCTACAAAGGAAAAGGGTGGACCCAAAGGCCCTGAACCTACTCGTTATGGAGATTGGGAGAGAAAAGGACGTTGTATAGATTTTTAATGCACAAATGTATCTACATTGCTAATAGAATGTTTGATACTTGTTTAAAGAATTTACTGTAGATAGAGAAATTTCACCTAATAGTTCCTTTTAATTCTTAAATGGAGCTTCTTTTTTCCAACATGTATTTGAGGAATATCCTGAGGGATGTTTTCTGCAAATAAACATTGTTAGTCAATATTAACCTTTTTAGCCCTCTTTTACTTGTATATTAAATTCATTTGCATATTACTCCTGGGGGAATTCTGCACCAAAAAAATAAAAATTCTGCACACAATATTTGAAAATTCTGCATATTTTATTTGTCAAAATAACACAATATAATCGTGCCAGTTTCAATTATTTTGGTAATTTATTTCAAAATATCTGTCAGTAAATATGTTTGTAACAATACAGACCAAAAAAAAAAAGATTCTGGTATTTTTTTTTTTTACAAATAGATTCCTTACTAGGCATATTAATACAGAACTTTGGTGTAATTCGTTTAAATTACAATATAGAACTGTATTTCCTGCACCTGTCTGAAGCAGTGCAAAGGGTTGTGGGAGTCAGGGGTAACGGAGGAGCTGAGGGAGAGGGAAGGAGCCTAGGAGTGAACTTGTTGGGTGAGGGTGGGAGGGGTTTTTTTGTGTGGGGGGGGGAGAATTGTTAGGGATTTGGGAAGCCTCCCCCATGCAGACCCTGGCTGACCTCAAGCCTCTCCCATTCAGTCAGGCACATCTGTCCCTGCACACACACACCCCAACCCCATGGGTCTCCGCAGCCCCCCTCCCCAGGCTCAACACTGTCATCCCACTAGCTCTTGAGCCCATGCTCCAGTCTGCCCCTCCCACTAACCATTCTGAATCCCTAGCAGCCTTGTGTGCCGCACTCTGCCCTAACCTGGCTCTGCAGGCAGGGTGCTGTGATGAACTTCTACTCCTGGGGGAATTCTGCAGCAGTGGGCATAGACTTTTTTATTTTCCCGCATAAAATACATTTTGCCTAAGAATTGCTGCAGTTCCGCCTTTTGCCCACCAGAGGCTGCTGTGGTGCCAGAACAGGGGCATGAACACAGCCAGCTGTTCTGGTGCCACAGTGGCCTCTGGTGAGCAAAAGGCAGAACTGCAGCAGTTCTTAGGCAAAATGATTTTATGTGGGAAAATACAAAATTATGCGAGACAGAGGAATTCTGTGTGTCCGCAGATGTGCAGAATTCCCCCAGGAGTAGCATATTAACTATTCTCCCAGAATCGTTAATATATTAGCAAAGAGTGTGTTTGAATTCTAAGGCCCAGAGTGTTGGTTCTTAACCTATTAGTGACCTGTATTCAGGAATTTCATGTGATTGAGTATTCGGCTGTACCTCATGTATTGCTGGTGCCTCCAATTCTGTGGGAATCAAATGTCTAGGGGAAAGACACCCTCAAACTAATACAAAGTGTCTATAGAAGTATATTGTAAACAAGACTGGATGATTGAGAAGGGGTGCCTATGATATATGTTCTGTGACTTATAAGAGGTACTTGTTATTGCAGATGTTTTCTGTAATGGATGAAATAAGGATCTGTTGAAAAATTATTTTAATTCATTAATAACTGCTGGTTGTCACAGCTGTCAGTAATAACTAGCTTAGAATTCCCTTTAGCTTATCAGTCATGTAACCTAAAAAATTCCCCAAGTAATTAGGTAAAATGAAACCGTAAAAAACAGAACACATAGTGAAATTAATCATGGGAAAGCAATTTTCCCTCCAAAAAGGAGTTTTTCTTTTTACAGGGTGTGAGACAAAGAGGGTTAGAAAGTTAGTTCGGGAATGAAAACTGTCAGCATTCTACTAGGTACAGAGGAGGGTACCAGACAACCTTCTCTTCACCATCCCCAGAGGGTGATAAAGTATGTCTTTCTGTATTGTGTATAATGCTGTATTAATCTTTGCTTAATTATCTTTAATTATATATTAGTTTGAGACAGTTATTTGACAATCTCAAATTGTTATTAAATTCAAACATGCAACAACATTGCTGTAAAGTAACTTTTTGGAGCAGGTAATTACATCATGTGCCCTAATCTTCAGTAGTATTTTCACTCCTCAATGCAAGGCTGGTGATGTGAAACTGATGGTTGTGATAATCTTATTGAAAAATATTTAAAACCAAAACTCTTAAGTGTACTAATATTTAATATGTATAGTATCTTCCATGCTGAAAGATCAGTATGTTTCACAAATTGTGTGTGATATATACACACCTCTACCCCGATATAACGCTGTTCTCAGGAGCCAAAAAAATCTTACCGCATTATAGGTGAAACTGCGTTATATCGAACTTGCTTTGATCCGCCGGAGTGCGCAGCCCCGCCCCGCCAGAGCACTGCTTTACCGCGTTATATCCGAATTCGTGTTATATCGGGTCACATTATATCGGGGTAGAGGTGTGTGTGTGTGTATATATATATAGAGAGAGAGAGAGAGACACACACACACACGATTTGTGAAACACTATATAGTGAAATGCAGCCACTTCTGAAGAACAGGCCAGCATCTAATTGATTTACAGCATAATAGTTAAGGGGTAAGGGAAGTTTTAATCAAGGGCACCAGGCCAAACCGCTACTCTTGAAAAGTGCCATGAGTTGTTGTTTTTTTTATTGTTTGTGCAAAGCATACAGGACCTCAGTTTTTAAATTTTTTCTTAAAGACTGACACAGTAAACTGTATGACGCTCAATTTATCAATCTCAGAGAGTTGGAGGGCTGAGTTGACCCTCTTGGGACTGGAATTTATAGTTTAAAGCCATCTAGGAATGCCAAATATGAGGCTTAGACAACCGTTATCTCCTGTGGCTTATATAATGACATGTATGCATATTTTTTTGTTGGATAAATAAAGGTGACTATCTGAAAATTGGTTAAATCCTGTCTGGGGAAAAATAGGTTTATTTTCACAGATTCATAAATTTTAAGGCCAGACGGGACCATTAGATAATCTAGTCTGACCTCCTGTATGTCACAGGCTGTTAATTTTCACCCAGTTACCCCTGTATTGAGCCAAGTACCTTGGATTTCAGTAAAACATAACTATTTTGCCTAAAGTGTGTCTTCCAGACAGACATCTGTTTCTGATTTGATGACGTGGAGAGTTGGAGAATCCATTACTTCCTTTGGTAGTTTGTTCCAATGGTTAATCACCCTCACTATTATAAATTTGTGCCTTATTTCTAGTTTGAATTCGTCTGGTTTCAGCTGTCAGCCGTTGATTCTTGTAATGCCTTTGTCTGCTAGATTAAACAGCCCGTTAGTACCAAGTATCTTCTCTCCATGAATGTACTTTGATACTTTAATCAAGTTACCTCTCAATTTCTTTTCAATAAGATAAACAGATTGAGCTCACTGGAAGGCATTTTCTCCAGCCCTTGAATAATTTTTGTAGCTCTTTTCTGCACCCTCTCCAATTCTTCATCCTTAGTAAAACGTGGACCTCCCTACTACTCTGCTCACTACTCCCCTGTTTATATCCAAGGATCGTGTTAGCCCTGTTTGTCACATCATTGCACTGTGAGCTCATGTTCACTTAGGAGTCTCAGTGGACAAGCAAGTCCTTGTCAGGGTTGCTGTTTTTCAGCATATAGTCTTCTATTCTGTAGGTATGGCCTGCATTCTTTGTTCCTAGATGTATGATTTTGCATTTAACTGTATTAAAACTCATTTTGTTTGAATAGGCACAGCTTACCACGAAATTCAGATCCCTCTATATGATTGCCCTGTCCTCATCATTATGTGCCACACTGACAGTATATCATCTGCAAATTTTATCATCAGTGATTTTATATTTACTTTCTAGATCATTGTGAAAATGTTAAATAGCAACAGCCTTAGTACCAATCCCTGTGGAGTCCCACTAGAAATACCCCCATTCAGTTATTCCTCGTTGACAACTACTTTTTGATATCTGTCAGGTATCCAGTTGTTAATTCATTTAATGTATGCTTTGATATTGTATAGTGCTAATGTTTTAAGCAGAATATTGTGCAGTACAAAATCAAATGCTTTACAAAAGTCTAAGTGGATTACATCTACCAATTACATTTATCAACCAAACCTGCAGTATCATCAAATAATGAAATCAGGTTTGTTTGAAAAGACCTATTTTTCATAAAACTGTATTGAGTGGAATTAATTACATTCTAATACTTTAATTCTTTTTCAGTTGAATCTCCTATCAGCTTTTCCTGTTTTGTTCTTTATCTGTTGCTATTAAATAGCAGGAGCGTTATACATTTTGTTTTCCAGTACGTTGTCTTTATTAATACATCTGTTTCTACTCTTTTGCCTACTTTATCTTATTTTTCATAATTTTAATATGATGCCAATATTTGCAAAAGAATTACTGTACGGTTACTTTTATTGACAAGGTATGTAAAGCTGCTCTTCACTGTTCTGAAGCGTTTTCATTATAAATCTGTGACCCTAACAGCATCCCACTGCAAGAGGCCAAGGGTCTCACTGCTATCTGATAGTGAGTTTCAGCTGGCCCAACAAGTTCAGTGAACCCCAATTCATTAATGTCATATCTGATATGTGTCATGTAAGGTATCATTGGAAAACTAATAACACACTGATCATGAATATTCTTGTGTGGTGCGTGGATGGTAAATGCCCAAGGACCATATAAATATGAAGGAAATGTGGAACTAAAATGTGTTTAGCAGACGGGTCTGGGGAGTGGGTAAACAGGCTTCTCCCATACAAAGGACAAGCCAGTGCCCCCAGCCAGGTGCCATCAGAGTCAATTAGCAATTGCATGTCAAGTGGCCAATGAAGTCATCACAGATACACCACTATACAGACTATTGGTATCTTTTTATGTAATACATACTTTGGTTTTATTCCTTGAAGGACCAAAATTTCTTATTTTGAAAAGGAATATGAGCAACATGAAATGTAAAAGGAATATAGCAAGACAGTTATTTTCTTTTGGGAGAAGGAATGATTTGGAAGACACTGATTTTTATTTCTTCAACAATATGTCATTTGAGTGTAAGTGAGCAGTATGAGAATGTACCTCTACCTGTGTGCAAATGATGGTCTGAAATGCTTAATTTCAGTGACAAATCTAACAGTTTCAAAAGAAACTTGCTATGAAAACACTTTTGTTCATTTGATAGTTTGTATACAAACTGACACAGACTTAAGAAATTCAGACTG